CAAGTGGAGCTGGAGGCTGAGCCGCACAAGGGCCATCAGAAGCCCCCGGCCCCCCGTGCCCCAGCTCCTGCCACCCCTGACGCCCGCCGGACGGACTCCTACGCGGTCATCGACCTAAAAAAGACAGCAGCCATGTCCAGTTTGCAAAGGGCCCTGCCCAGGGATGATGGGACTTCACGGAAAACTCGGCATAACAGCACTGACCTGCCCCTGTGAGGGGGGCCGCCGGGTGCACGCACCGCGTCGTGGCTTCGGTACCTGGGACTCCTACGCGGTCATCGACCTAAAAAAGACAGCAGCCATGTCCAGTTTGCAAAGGGCCCTGCCCAGGGATGATGGGACTTCACGGAAAACTCGGCATAACAGCACTGACCTGCCCCTGTGAGGGGGGCCGCCGGGTGCACGCACCGCGTCGTGGCTTCGGTACCTGCCTTCAGTGTGACTTCCGTTCGCCATTGCCTTCTGCTTCCCTGTTTACCCCATTACCTGCTGTCACGGGATGGCTCCTACAGCTGATGTTAAGCCTAGTCTGTCTGTCTGTCTTCCCCTCTCTGTCTGTCCCACGTAGTTCGTTTTTGAAGCCTCGTGGGTGTTCGACCACACTGTTTGAAGGTACAACCTCCAGCAGGAGGGGCAGAAGGTGCCAGCAGTGGTACCGGTGCTGTGTGGGTCCAGCCTTGGATTGGCTTAGCTTTGCTATCGCCTGGCAGCTCCATGAGCAGTGCCAACAGCCTGGCTCCAGAGGCAGAGCACAGCATGGTGGAGGCATGTTTCCAAAAGTGAGTTGCTTTAGAAGCTCCACTGCAAATCCAGCCAGTTTTCCATGGATTTCATGCCTTGCGGCTCGAGGCGAGTGCTGCAGCCGGGCCTTGTGGTTTCGCTGGTCCCTGGGGATGTGGGGGCTCATGCTGTGGTCTTTCCCCCCTCAACTCTTCTCCCCCCTGCACTGTTACGTGTTTTCTTGTAGAAGCTTTTGATACTTCTGTCCCTCTCTCAGATTCCATTTGAATTGGGCAGCTCTAGAAATGAATTGAAGAGGACAAACAGCCATGGGCATAGACACTGTGATCACATAAACCTGATTCCCTAAAGAGACCCTGCTTTAAAAGGAGGGGAAGACCACAACTGTGAGAGAGGTTTGAGGTTTGGTACAGAAAACTTCCGTTGTACCGTACCCTGCTCTTTAAGGGTTCTTTTTGGTGGCTGTTCCAAAATGTCGTTGATTTATTTATTTGCTTATTTATTTATTCAATGCTCTTTTGCATCACAGTGGTAATTGCCAAAACCAGTGCTAGTATGACATGAGCACTCGCTGTGGCTCACTCCTGCCTGGGGGACAGCTCTCAGAAAAGGTTGGTGGCTTTGCTGAGCTGCTGCTGGGGAAAAGAGCAGTTGTGAATCAAAAGGCATGTTTAAACTGGGACTGACTGTCACAGGGTGGGTGGGAAATGGGAGACGTGGGAGTGCGAGCGGAGCTGCCAGGCAGCCGAGCCTGGAGCTGTATCAGAGCCTTTGCCTTCACCCACGTGCCTGGCTGGGTCCGTGAGACGTATTTGAGCAGTGTTTTGAGTGAACGTGCAGTTTGTTTCCTACAACCGTGGGCTTGGAAGGGCTCAGTTTCAGCTCTTGGGTAAATCTGTGGCCTTTGATGTGGATTTTTCTCTTGATACCAGGGCTGAGTCTAAGCTGAGCTGTCAGGCCTCTGCACGAGGCCCTCTGCAGGGTCTCTGCTCCTGTCCTGTTGCAGGCTGTCCCACCACCCCTTTCCACATCGTGACATGCTGCAGCTTAGTCCCTCCCTGCATCGCTCTTTGCCATTATAAACTATTCCAGTAAGACAGAAGTGCTCTGGGTTACTCTGGATTCCCACCCTTCTGCTGCCTGTGTTCATCTTCCTTCCTGGGACAGGAGTGGAGAGATCCAGCGCTCTCCGAGGTGTCCCACTGCCAAACCTTCCTGTGTTCTCCTTGTCCCTAAGGTTTCCAGTGTCAAAGCCTCTGGGGTGATAGAGGAGAGAACCCCGTTGTCCTGTTGCAATCTGCTGCTGAGGTCCAGAAACTTGATGTCCAGATTTTTGAAGTTCAGCCTTTTTGGGTTTGGTGCTGTAATGTCACATCGAAATGTGTTCCTTTTGGGAGCAAGGACATGTGCCTGCAGGTCAGAAGGTGTGAGCAGTGCCATGCTTGCGTGGGCAGAACATGGATCTCTCGGCTTGCTACTGCACTATAAATTCAGAGTGCACCTCGTGCTTAAATTCACTGGCTTTTTGGTTTTTTGGGAAGTGCTTGTGCTTGTCTTCCATTCTGTTCTCCACCCCAACCTTTGTGTGATCTGTAACTGGAAAGAAACCCAAGTAATATATTTTTATATGTATGCCAAATGAATTTATTTGAAAGAGAAGGGCAATGTATCCCCCTAAATCTAGCTTTCAGTTAGGGAAGTGAGAAGAGAAATTGTTTATATATATATATATATAT